TCTTCATTTCACAAAGCTGTCCAACTCTACCAACAACAGCCGCTGGAGTGGCAAATTTCTCACAACTCATAAACACGTGTTCAACCGTTTTCTCAACACCACATCAAAAAGAAAGAAAGAAAAAAATCTCCCTCCTAGATTTTACAAAACTTGGCAGCCCTGTAATAGTACTAAAGAAAAATCTAATTTATATAAAATAAAATGTGTTACTTTATAATTGTACTTGTTTTTTAAGACATTCTTTGTTTTTAAACACATTATTCTGTAACGTCACCAGACACGAGACTCACCATGCTGTACACACGACTAGCCACTAGATGGCGGAATGAACTCATAACGTCAAGCTTCATCAAACTAGTGAGCAGATACTGTGACGAAAAACCTCTCCCAAAGACGAGCAGTCATTCATGACGGATATGCTGTGAATAATTGATATTTCTCAGTCATACGAACCAGTGCCAAAATACTAACAAACCTGGTTAACTCAGTAAGGGTTTTCCGCATGGAATGAGTGAAATCATAATAATCATCAGGGTCAGCTTCCTGTACAGATTAATGCACAGCAGGGTTGGTCCTGCTGGGTTTGTTTCAAGCTGTCAAGTTTGGGAAAAATGTTTTAACACGAAGCCAAAATCGTGTCATGCTTCAATGTGAATCATTAAAACATGAACTTTTAAATCTTTACTGCAGAAAACTTATGGAAAAATAAAATCTTACCTGCTAGACACCGTGGTGAAAAACCTCAGTTTGGAGACACAGAGAGTATGCTGTGTCCTATATCTCTGAAGTCATGCTATTATAAATCTTTCAGAGCAAGGATCGGACATTATATGATTAAAATATTACTGTTGACACCATGGGGGACAACATTCACTGTGAATTATAAGTTATTTCCTTTAGACATTTTATCAACTGAAAGACTTTTGGATTGCATGAAATCCTGCCTGTGTGAATTCCACCCTTTTCATAACATGACCCTGGCAGCAAAACCATGCAATGTCCAATAGCCTCCCCGCACTTTTCTATTGGATGAGCTGTTAAAACACATACTTCTAGTGTCAATTGGATATTAAAGGTTCAACAATATTAATGATCCATGTTTTTATGGAACATTATACTTTGTTGAATACCTTTCATATTTTATTGACAGTTTATTAATTGTGATCACTTACAAAACATTACAATATTTAAAAAAACACTTGGTTTGTGTAATCCAGTGTCCCAATGAGCTCATTCCTGGCCGCTTTTGGCTTTTTTTACCTGCTGGAGAGTGTTTACAAGTCTCTGATGCCACATTCCATCATTTTATGGTTCTTCTTAATTTAAAAAAAACTCCACGAAGTGTACGCAGCTACTCTAAAACAAACAAAGAATGGTGAACCAAAAAGAAAGAACTGTGAAGAGCTTTTGGTTCCAGGTGAACATCCTGAGCTGAGACTCTGCATGGTTTCGGCCACAAACCTCTGCAACCAAAGGCTCTCCTATTCTGTGTTTTGGAGAGGGATGCACCTTATAGCATAGGTCTATGGTAGAGATTGCTGCGCCCGAAAAGAACAGGAAACATGTCACAAGATGATTCGGTCATGGTAAAAGTGTGAGAGAACATTTTTAAATTACACTCAAATGCAGATTATACACGGTACTGATAGTCTGTATGATGTATATTTTGCTTATTTTCATGTTTTTGTTTTATATTTTGTGATTGTGATGGTACAAATGTTTGAAATTGTACTGCTATGAAATCTTTTATTTTTAGACTAAAGATGTACTATTTAACCAATACATTAGCAGTGATCTCTTAAATGAATGCCTTCTAAGTTGTACTCTGGAAAAAAAGCTCTGGTGCACCTGTTTCAAGAACTACAAGTGTTGGAGTTGAGCTTCAGACTGCAGGACTTAGCGTCTTATGCCACTTACACACAAGCATTGGCTCCACTCCACTCCGCGTGGCCCGCACCAGCCTGGCCGCATTCATTCCACACTTCCTTAGGAATGTGGACGTGATTGAGCACATGCACGGTCTCCATAATTGGTGCGAAAAATAGAAACCAGTGATGTCATGAGCGCATCTCTGAGCACGTGGAAGGTGCAAAATAGCTGAGAAGTCTGCAGCGTTTCCAATATTAAACAAAAGCAGCCTGAGCAGTCTTGCTTTTGGAGAATCTCTGACTCTGATTTAGCATCCTGCTTTGCTGTTTCTAGCAGCCTGGCAACACTGTGTGTGTGTGTGTGTGTGTGTGTGTGTGTGTGTGTGTGTGTGTGTGTGTGTGTGTGTGTGTGTGTGTGTGTGTGTGTGTGTGTGTGTGTGTGTGTGTGTGTGTGTGTGTGTGTGTGTGTGTGTGTGTGTGTGTGTGTATTAGGGGTTGTATGAACTAGTCGACTAGTCGACTTCACGGCTCTGTAGTGGCTTTTTATGCCTGTCATCGACTAGTCGCTGTCACATGATAATGACTGACAAGATGCAGTCCTCGGAAAAGACAGCAGGTGATGAGCCCCTGCGCGTCGGGAGGCAGAGGCGAAGCGCTGTGCCAGAGCGTCGGTACTGACACCGGCAGTAAAACGGACATTTAACCAAACTGTGACCTTTTCCCTCTTGCAATTTTACCTTCCCCTCACCCCCATCCTAATTTTAACCAGTTTGCGCATGCAAAGCTCTGATCGTTGATGCGCTCCAGACATCTGCGTCCTGAGCACTGCCAAATCAGGTGTCACCACCTCAAAAACAAATTAAACATGTGATCGTTCATGTCTGCTCATTTCCTTTAATGTTTTCTGTCTGTTATTTGTGCCTGGTGCGTTTCACTGCTGCAGAGCGAGGCGCATCACCTGTTTTGTCCTCCGGTGACGCACCCCCAAAATTCCACTATCTCCGCTCCGCTCCGGCACGAACTCCGCAGCAAAAACTGTCCCGTAGTAGTTGGCCGGCGAGCAGCGGCACTCCGCTGTTTTTGAACTGCAGTTCAAAGGTAACTCATAAGATGAATATAAATGAACCCAGGTAGCAGTTTTCCTTTAGGATTGAAAGGAGATGCAGGAAGATAATAAACAGACAGGACAGAAAAATAGTCAAATAAAAACAAGTTAGTTTTTGTACCTGGTGGTTGCAACAAACAGACACCATTGAAGGTAATCAGAAGTGAGGAACAGAAAATGAAATAATTATTTTAATGTTTAGAGCAGCAGGAAAGGCTGCAAGCGCATCAGTGAGTTTGCGGCCTCTGCGCAGGGGGAGGGGGAAGAGGGCTGAAGTAGGATGCAGAAACTACCGTTGTTAAAAGAGATGTGTTTACTTAGAAAATATGGGCGCAATTTTAATTGTCAAAAACTCCAGCGAACCTACCAACCCCCCCCCCCCCCCCCCCCCCCACACACACACACACACAGCAGTGAGAGACAGAAAAACAGCTTCAGTCAGAGGCTCGCTAACTCCACAGCATCTAGAATGATAATGTGCATGCAAGATTCCCCCAAGGGCTGATTCTATCTGCCAATCGGAAGCTTCCCCTAATGGTAGGTGTGATTTTGAGTCGGCCAATCAGTCAGCAGTGGGCATGATGGACCAGTTTGGCTGCAGGCAGACCTCTTCGGGAAGAGACCTGAAAAGACGTTCAGTTGCGCACAGGAAAATCGAAGGCTACCCAAATGAGAACACTCCAAACCCAGTCCAGGCGGAGCGGAGCCGACACTAGCGTGTAAGTGCTATTATATCCTGATGTTTGGACACCAGACCTCAGACTGGATAACAGCAACCCTACTCTACCACTGATCCGTTTGCTCCGTGACACTGATATTTTACCTCCACAGATAACTCAAGCCTGGAGAAGTTCTGCTGTGTTGTGGAATTGCTAATGCAAACAGTTAGCTTCTACTATTCGAAACGTTTTCTACTCTATCCTGGGTGTGAAATCAACAACAGCCTTTCCCATTGCGAGCCAAGATGGGTGAGTCAATAAATGTTCAGTGACAGTGTAATGTAGATCTGTCAGGATTTTCTAATGCTAGAGATTCACCGTCTATTTTCTATCTGAAGATAATGCAGGAGGTAGGTGGAGACTATTTTCATGTTCAGCCTACATGGAAAACTGAGCGTGAACAATTACAATTTGAAATGGATTTAAAAACAGCGAAACACACCTCTAAATCTGCTTTGTATTCTGTGCCCCACCCAGCACAGATGCTAGCTCAGTTTGAACCGCTGTTCCTTTAACAGGTTGTTCATACAGAACCAAAGTTATTATATAAAACATTTTCATGTTTGAGTGCAGGAGACTAGACAAGTCCTCCTCTCTACTTCTACGGTTTTTAATTATATACCTTCAGTCAAATTTCTCCATTTTTATTGTCATATCAGAATTTTTAAATGCCTTTTTTACAATAACACTCAAGTTTCTTGAGGTTTCCGACATAGACTGAATAAGAGATAAATTAGAACATGTACACATTGTTTTTTAACAAGATTTAATTTATTAACTATCGTACAGTTCACATAAGGCCTTCATCTTCAAACATTATTCTCGGTCAGACCATTTTCATCATATGTTCCGTGTTTCACCTAAATCGTTTAATTATTGGTTTTGTACTAATTTTACATTTTATAACAAGAGGCTTTCTTCCTTAACATGTTTTTTTTATTCTCTTTTAAATCATGCACTAAACTCAGGTGGCCTTGAACCATTCACAAAAATTGTAAAAATGGACTTCCAATAATTGAAATACACACTAGAAATGTTTTCTACCATTGACTAAAGGGTGGCGTTCCCAAACATACAAATAACCACTACAGTGGACTGTGCTCCCACTCGTTGATCACTGATGGGCAGATTTGCCTCAGTTCTGTCAAGCAGCAACATTATACACTCCTAAAGAATCGTGTTGAAATGGGAAAGTTGCCTGGTTGTTTCTCTGCCAGTTGAAATGTTAGATTCAAGCTCAAAACAGAATGAGGAGAATTTTCCTTTCTTCCCAATCCCAGGTGTACCAGTAGCCATGGACGTACTTGATTTATTTTTTTTTGGGGGGGGGGGGCATGTCCCCCCCACTTTTTCCTAAGTCCATTTTTGTCCTTTGCACGTTTACCATCCAAAATCAATATTACGCTATATTAAATGGACACTGGTTGAGCACTAAGATCAAGCGGAAAACAACCACTTGTGTTGAAACCCGTCAGAACTTACTGTAAAGATCCCTCCCCCACTCACTCCCAAAGTCAAAACTACGTCCATGCCAGTAGCTGATGATCCCAAATGTTAACACAACTAATAACTTGACAAATCTGGTCGTGGTTGTAAATGGGAACCATGACACAACCACCATCCTCCAGCGTGGTTGTCTTTTTTTATTTTACAGTTGAAAAACAGCAGGATGCTTCCTCTTTTTTTAACAGATAGTAACAGGGCCTTCATTTTAGCAGAGCTGCCACAAAAAAATGTGCTGCTTTTGTTGTCAAGAGGAATGAAAAGCAATATGCCAGCATAAAACTAATCAACTAGAGCAGGTAGACAGCCAGTGATGCTTCCTAGTGTCCCAGTCACAAATGTTTCTCGTGCTCAGTTTGTGGTTTAGCAGGACGTAGCAGTAACAGCGCTGAGATTACTAAACCTTCTGAGTTTAAGGTTCTTAATATTACATGAATACAAAGAGCTTGATTTGATAGACAGCACAACACATCCAGCAACCCATCATGTTTCAAGCATTTGGTTTCCTTGGACACCAGATAATAGTAATGCAAATGTGTAACGTATGACTCTAGCAGTTTCTCCTTCACTGACAGCAGACAAAGTTAAACCAGAGTTCCTGAATGTCCAGTCTGATCAACAAATGGCTAGAAAAGAGGATGAAAAACTATTTCTCACACTGCTGAATCAACGCGGAACACGGTTCAGATTCATCGACCTGAAAGGAGAAAACTTGATCCAAATAAAAGATGTTTTCTCCATTTCAAAACAAAAATTATCTTGTTGTACAAGCCTGCACTCATGCCACATTCAACCACTAAACTTACAATATGGACAATTAACCAATGTGGCATTTCTTCATTTTTAATCAAAAAAAGTGCTTCGGATAAGTTTGCGGACACAAAAATGAGTTTTGATGTAAACAAATTCTGATCTGCCAGAAGCTCTGAGGCGATGGGTATGGTTGTGAAATTTAAACACAAACAAGAAAACCGTATGTATAAAAGGAAAAAAAAACAGTGGTAATTAAAGTGCATCCCTGGATGTTAAAACCGACCCCCCACCCCCCCACTACTTTCCCTTCTCTCTCAATGCAGAGCCCTCAGGTAGAGCTAATGAGAGAAAACACAGAGGAACCTCTGCGACCGTGGAGCAAATCGCTTCCCAAAGGACCTCCAGAGGACCGGTCCATTAATCCAGTGGCAGTACTTTAAAAAAAAAACATGAAAACAAAAGTCATTTTAAAAACATGGTGGCCACAAATCATCTCTTTCAGCTTGAGTTGGAGGTGTCCATTTCTTAGTAGTGTAGGATAAGTGGTGGTTGTTGAATGACGAGAGGTGCGCTCCGACAGTGACCAGACATCTGATGCTTAGAGGGCACAAGTGTCTGCTGATCATCAAAGCCTGCCACGTTTCACATAGCTATGACCACAAACAGCAGTTCCTGTATCTTCTCACCTCTCACGCGTCCCACCTAACATCTCGATAACCTAGGTTGTCCACGATCGAAACTGAAGGGTGAACGTGCTTTTGTTTGTTTGATTCTTCCTATTGTGTGTGTGCGTGTGTGTGTGCGTGTGTGTGTGTGTGTGTGTGTGTGTGTGTGTGTGCGTGCATGTCTTAGTGATAAGGTCCGGCATCAACATGGGCACACATGGATTCAATGTCTCTCACAGTGTCTCTTGTTCAGCAGGAGAATGGTGGGAGTGGGGGTGCTGGTGGAGGGGAGGAAGCAGGGACTTCAGGGGTGACTGTGGGGTGGTGGGAGGGGACTGCTGCAGAGGGCTAAAGTGAGCGGCAGTGTGGGGGGGGGAGGAGCGGTAACAAGAGTAGGCAGAGCTCCCGCTGAGGGTGGTGGTGGGTGAGGCAGGGAGGCCCCCGAGGCCCGTGGGGGAGTCAAGCAGAGGCTGGTTGTAGAAGAAAAATGCACACTGGTGGATGAAGCTCTCGATGATTGTCTGGTAGGTGCGTGTGGCAGTCAGGGCGTCCATCGTGGAGAAGTCTGGCCTCATGAGGGTGGGCCAGAAACAGATGGACAAGTTTTCACTGGTCATTAGGTTCACCCTGTTAAACTGGCTCACCCTGGGAAAACACACAAAACCACATTAACTTTCATCAAAACAAACAGAAGACGACCCAACACTTAAATGGTTTTCAGACTGAAAACTTACTTGTGTAAGTGGCTCACTACGTATTTAAAGGCATCATAATTCTCCTTGGGGAACTTCCTTAGGACATCCTTCATGGTATAAAGCCTCTGTTCTCTGTCGTTGATCTCTGCAAACACAGACGTTTCTGTCACTGCTGAGGTCTTGTAATCCAACACAATCAGCTCTAAGCTAAGCTGTGTCTCTACACTATCAGGAGAACGGTTCTCACACTAAACACTAAAAACACATCAAATGAAAGCAAAGCAAACCTTCCCAGCCCACTTTCCTTCTTATGAAATTATCTTTTTATGTCCAAGTGAAGACCCTCCCATCCCAGCAGTGTTTGCTTACTGAACGCGTCCAATAGGTCCACCTGCAGAGCACAAGGCACCAGAGGCTCAGGCAGTTCTGAGAAGAAGCTTTTGAGAGCTCCTGCCACAGTGTTTATAGAAAAGTCTTTCTCCACCAGGTCTAATCCGTGGTCTGCACAAGAACAAAGACACAGTTAAAGAGATCACAACAGAAACTAAACGGATCATTAACAACTTTCATCAGCTGATTGTCACTTTCCTTTGATAACTATTTATGTTTTGACTAGACAATGACATAATTACACGGGAAGCAACTGTTTCAAAGATTCCCGACGAGCAACTCACCCTGTTCGAACTGCTTTTGCATGCTTTCCATCTCTGACTTGTTGCCACTCACACGGTACAAACCTTCAGTGTTCAGGCCTGAAGGAGAAAGAAGAAGCAGCGGGAAGATGTGGGTGGGGCATCACAGTGGGAAACAGGCAAAGCACAAACACTTTATTAGCTCTTCTGCAAACACACACGACAGTACAGCTGCTGGCAGCTTCTGGAGAGACACTTAATTTAATACATCCTCATCTTCTGATTTCTTTCCATCATATTGAAATCTGAAAAAAGGCCTGTTTTGATGGCTAATTGATAAGATAAAAAAAAAAAAAATAAAAAACTAGTTAGATCATTTCCTGCTCTGCAGTTTAACTGTGCTAGGGTAGCAAATGCTCAACGAAGCCTTCCTCTGACACAAGTCGTTTAGGCCTCTGGTTCTTTATGATGCCTCCCAGGCTCCAAATACACCTTCTTTTAGTGATGCACTGATATGAAATTTTTGGGCCGATACCGATATCAAATATTAATATCACTGTTATGGCCTATAACCGATTTTTGCCAATACCGATATACTGACATTAATGGTTCTAAAATCAGCAGATTTTGTATAGAATGAAAAGGATTAAAGCTGAATTTACATTATTATGTACACACACATTTACGCTTCAGAGATGATTACAATCACTGTCACATGACTGAACAAATACACACCACCCCCCACCCTCTGAAACAGATGAAGAAATAGAAACAAGATGGAAGAAATATCTGTTGTTAATATCGGCCCAGTTTTATTCATCGGGCCGATACCGATATGTTCAAAGATGACTAACATCTGCCGATGCTAATATTGATGCCGATATATTGTGCATTCCTACTTTTTTAGCTTTTGCAGATACAGAAATTTAAACAAACGTTAAACCTACTCAGAAGCATTAAGTCTCCTTAAACATTAATGGCTACTTCCTAATCTTTAAGTTTGACTTTGTGAGTGACCGGTATGCCCGGAGCAGATGAGCGCATAAAGAAATCTGTCATCAGCAGATGTCAGCTCAGCATGAAAAGATTAACCAAATAAATAAATAATAATCAAGTGGTCAGAGCATCCTTAGAAATTAGCTTTCACTGGCAAGGGTTACATTTACAAACCTACAAAGCTGTGGCTGTGTTAAAAAAGAAAGTCTGCTTTAGTGGCATCATTAATGATGGGTGTTGAATAATAAACAAGTACATTTTCAAGTCTGAAGTGAGTCACGTTGGCTTTACAAGAAAGAATGTGCGCTGTAACCTTCATCTGCTCTGAGTTGTTCAACAGTTCAGCTTTTCAATATGTCTCATGGAACATCGGATGGCAGCTAACATCATTACTGCTTATTTCAGTACATATGGCCATTTGAAAGACTTTTACTAATGAGTCAGCACTGATCCCAGTAGAATAAGAACATTTTAATACAAAGCTGTGCCTGCATCAGCAGCCAATTTGAATCAACACATCAACTTAAATCATTCAGCTTATATAGCAGATCTGCCAAAGATGTATTACTCCAGGAAATGATTAGCGGAGGATGAGTATTAATTGACAGCTGCAATTTACTTTTAAAGAAAGACTAGCTTCGGTGAACTGACCCGTTTTAGTTCCCCTGCTTTATGAGACATTAAATAACTCCGTACAGTCAGCTTCTTTTGTTCTATAGGCATTGGTGTCCCCAAAGTGAGCTTTCACATCTACTTTTTGCTGATGGTCTCTCCAAAAATCTTTGTCTTTGGTGTCGCTTCTTATTTCATTTGGGAAGTGGTGGTTATCCTAGGCTATATCAAGAATTTTACAGGAGTAAATAAATTCCCACCTCATTTTGTAGACCTGTTTAGTTTTTAGAAACTTGACTCTTGAAATTTTTCAACCCTTTAGTGTGTATGATATAACGTAATTCTGCATGATATGAACTTTGAGGTCTTGAGAGCTGAGATTTACACTATACCATTAATACAAGCTGACATTGTGACCTTATATTGAAAAAAGCTCACCTGTGGTTTCAATGAAGCGTACACACTTCTCAATGAAGAGTGGAATCGGTCTGTCTGGGGAAACCACACTCACCAGGGGAACTCCAAAGTAACTGCTCTCCATGGGTTTAGGAATACTTGGGCGGGGTTTTGTTCTTGTTTTCTGTCGGAAAAGTGGATTGGAGGTCTGATGAGATTCAAACAAAAATAATAACCGACACCAGAAGGCTTTATCTGCAAATACTCACAAATTCTGTAGTTGGACTTGGATAGAAAAAACCATTTAAGGCACATTCACCATTCTGATATAAAAGTCAATAAAAATGTTGGAACACTACGCACCTTGGCTGTTCGTCTGAGACTCTTGAGAATGTTCCTCTTCTTTGGGTCCTCACTCTCCTCGTTACCAAGACTGTCACCTTTCAAAGTCCCAAAGTCATCTTCTTTAGACTTTGAAAGGGCTCCCATTTCATCATCACTGCCGATGAAGCTTGTGCGGAAAGTACTGAACTTGCCAAGCCGCTTGGAGCGATCGCGATACAGACGAGGCTTTACCCCGACTGCTGAGAATTTCCTTCTTCGCTCCAGAGAGCTACTGTCTGCTTCACTGTCTGAACCATTTCCATTTGAATGCATCCTGTTGGAGTTACGTATAGTGATGATTTTGCCTTGTGTGCTGTCATGTGGAACTGAGTAAATGATCTCTTCATTGCTAGGGCGAGGCTTCGAAACTGCATCAATGGGTTCAGCATAGTCTGAGGGGTCATAACTCACATCCCCACCAGGAACCCAAGTAACAGCAGAGGGCAGGGAACGACGATGACCTAGTGTATCGATGTATGGGTTACGACTCACCTTCCGGAAGTCAAAACCTGGCTTACCTCTCACTTGGGGGGATATTTTGTTATTGAGCTTGTTCTCAAAGTCCCTGATATCAGATATGACAGAGATATCACTGGAATCCAGATCAGGCACATTGAAACTCCCACTGTGTGAAGAGAGTGTTCCATCATAGTATGGTGGAGATGGCTCTACATCATCTTCTGAATCCACAAACATGGTGACGGGACTGGGAGATATGCACCGTGGGGAATACACATTTTCATTGGTGCATGCTTCTGCAACATTATCGTACATGTGTGTGGCCTCCACAATGTTGCGTTTCTCTACCACCTCCATCAGAAATGAATGGAACATTTCTATCCTATGCAGACCCCCCACCACTCCTCCAGATCCACAAACCACACTATTGAAACGGCCCTCAATCTCATGAGCTAGCTCCTCTCCTTGAATCTGTTGTTCACAGGCAAATTCACTGTCAATGAGCTCAACCTGGCTATCTCTTACTGCCAACAGCTGAATGGGGATGATGTCCTGAACCTCACACAAGAATGCGCACAGAGTCTCCAGAGAGGCTTTTCGGGTGACTGAATAAACAGCAATGTAGCCATGAACTAACCTGCTCTTTCGCAAAGTGAATGAGGCATGATATGAGAGTAGAGAGAGCTCTATAGCCAGCTTGTGTCCACCAACTGTCTGCTCCAACAGCACAGAGGTACCACTATTAGACATAGGCCTGCAGTACTGATGCATGAGGAATGGAGACAGGAGCTGCTCAATGTCATAGGAATCTCCACACATTAAGCACATGACAATGCGAAGGTCTGCCTCCTGGACTGGCTGATGGGGAGAGTCTCTGAGACCTGGAGGCTCAGAGAAGAGGGGTGGAGAGCTGCTACTAAAAGATGTGCTCCTCCTAACATCAAGCAGACCCCTCAGCACCTGGTTAATTTGAGTCTCATTTACATTATGACCATAGCCAACACCAGGAGAGGCAGGGTCTAAAAAGCTACACTGTAGTCTCCTTGCAACCTGCTGTCCCTGTGTTATTAGGTTTAAGGCAGTGTCTCCACCTATGTCAACATATGACCCTACACCTCTTTTAGTGACTAAAAGAAGAAATGTAGGCAGCTGTGCCAGCTGGCTATCCCTTCGACCAAGGGTCGATTCTCTAAGTCGCTCAAGGCTTTCCACCACATAGGTAAGGGACTCTTTTGAATTATACAGACATAGACATCCATGGGGGGTGAAGGTGGGGGTGTGGAAGGAATTTACTGGAAGACGTACATTTCCCTCAATGGGCCGCAGTGTCAACTCATACATCTTCCCATCTAACACATACCAGTCATCGTTTGTGCAGAGAGTTCTAATCTCATTGGCAAATTCTCTGGCAAGTCCATCCTTCCCTAGTATGACAAGGTTAATTCTGTCAGCTTTAGTGTCCCCAAAATGAGCTTTCACATCAAAGAAGGGGTAACACATGGGAAAACGTGAAGCAAGGATTTGTTCAATTTTAGAGTCTCCACAGTGAGGACTACTAGGACAGGTCTCTTTTGTGGGGTGATAAACAAAGTGGATATGCTTCAACACAAGAGCATCTCTTTCTGCAGGAAGCTTTTGTAAGGTTTTAAACCTTGGTTCCTCCCCCAGAACTTCTTGAATTGCTCCCATTTTCTCTTTGCTTGGCTTGGCATCCACTTCAAGTTCATAAAAAAGCTCCGAGTACTCAAGCAAAAGCTCCTGAAAGTCTTCTTTAGCACGATCAATAATCTCCTTCTGATGCCGGTTGTACAGGTCCAAGTACTCAGGCTCCTCAAGCCACTGGTAGAACTCTTCGTTCATGATGAAGCTTCGGGCTTCCTCCCAAGGTTTACCAGGTGTGACAAAGGGGGAGGAAGCTAACTTTTGCTTAAACTCCTGTCGTATTTCTGCACGCCTACACTCATTACGCAGATGTTCCAGGTGAGCATTAAATATGTCTTCTGCTTCACCAGTCTCCAGAAGGTCTGAGGGGATCCGTTCATCTTCCATGTTATCAATGTGGGATGTGTCTTCCCATGGTGAATCCTCCAAAACAACAAACCAGTGGGTAAAGTGTTGCTTGGACTCTAGCACCTTCTGCACTCCAGACCAGCTCAACTGATCAATCTCATCAAGGTCTGGCACCAAAGAACTGAGTGCTAATGGAAGAGTGCTTAAATATATTTTGCGACGCCTCTCAATATGCTCCTGTTTCAGACGATAAACATGCTGTTGAAAAAGCTTTTTGCATTTAGCAGTTCCTTCCAAGAAGACATATTCCTTGTACTCTGGTGAGGTGTTCATTCTTCGGCTGGCGTTTAACCAGGTTTCATTGTGATTCTTTACAATGCGGTTGATCAGCCATTCATAGCGATCCTTGGCAGAGGCTATTTGCTGACTTTGGAGCTTTAGGGCTTCAAAATAAGGAATGATTTTGGGCTTGCCCCTGCTCCTATCGATAAGCTGAACCAATGTGAGGAAGGCAAGATCCACATTTATATTTGAGCGTGCAGAAGTCTCAACTACTGGTAGGTTTTTCTTTGTTATGGCAAAGGTATGCGCATCTTTGATGTAGCGTTCAACTCCTTCATCACATTTGGTGAGCACCAAAACAATGGGCTTCTTGGTTTTACTAAGCTGTCCATATAGGTTTGAGACAAATTTCAGCTGATCATCAAAGTTGCGATTCATGCCCCGGCTCACGTCAACACAAAGCAGGAAGCCATCAACCTGCAGCTTGCCCTCTGGCATTTGCTTTTGCTCGAAATCTTGTTCCAGACCCAGTTGATCTGTGCAGAAGTACATCAGCTTCTCTGCTGAGGCCAACTTGGTTCCAGCTGCTCGTTTGATATAGGGCTGCATAGCAGTGCTACGGTGTGGCTGAAATGTCTGGTCATCAATAAATTCAGTTTGCTCCACAACATGCAACCTGCATTCAGGCCCCTCCTCCAGGACCCGAGACACCTCTCCCCAAAACAGAAAGTGATCATTGTTAACCACTCGCCCCCCAAAGTCACTGGTGCTTAACACCGATGTGTGATCCAGGTAGAAATCATCAGCACTTGGTCGCACATACCTATTACACAAACAGGATTTTCCAACCCCACATTGCCCCTTCTCTTTTTCTGTTCCTGACAAACCCACCACAACAAGGTTGTATATGGGTGATCGTGCATCTTGCTTTTTCGCCATCATAGTCCTCTGAATCTCATCCTGCCATAAACTGGCTCTGTATGAAATTGTTCACTTATGTTTGTCCATAAAAACGCTGAACCACAGAAGAGATCAGATTGCTCTTGCTTCCGCCAGGCTTCAGTTATATATCATGCTTGCTCAGTATGAGGATTGCTGTAAAGGAACTGATGCCTGTCAGTGACTCGATGCAATTTGCTGGGTTCCTTTTGTAGGAAACTTTTTACTGGTTGGCTTAATGAACTGAACTGTATTGGAATGTTTACTTCGTGAAGTGCCTTGAGATGACTCGTCGTGATTTGGCGCTATATAAATAAACTGAATTGTATTGACAAATAACAGTGCAGTAGCAGTAGGTCCTTTCATTCATCCATTATAAGAATCAAATCCTGGCAAAAGAAAAGGGGGGGGGGGGGGGTCAGACAATCAAAAATTAAAATAAGGAAAAAATACATTTGCAAATATCAAATCAGGCAAACACAGTACATTTAACTTTTGTACATATTAAGAGACCATGTAAATAAAAAAACAATCTTCCATATGTTGTCTGACAAGCACAAATACAAACTACAATAATCAACTTTAATTGACTATAGAGTAATGTGGTCCCATTCTTTGTCCCTTTTCTTTATTTCCAAAGGACCTAGTAAGGTCATTATTGAAGGCCACATAACACCTTATGCTGGCTCTTTGGTTTAATCATGCACCACGTTTGACCCTTTCCAAGCAGCAGTTAATTGTGAGGAGTGTGAAATCACTTCATTAACAGTATTATTGCACAGCTTCAATTTGTTATCAAGAAGTGTTGTTGTTGGCATCATTCATAGTCAGTAGCAAAGCATAATGAGAGCCAAGTCACAAGAACGGTGATGCCAAACAGCTATATCTCCTCTGAGAAGCCACATGGATTCTTGCTGTACTGTACGATGGGTAAAAAACAGAATAAGAATTTATGTTTTTTTAAAGGCCTTCATCCAAAAGGATATGTGGTTGAATTGATCGGGTTTTTTTTTTCTTTTAAAAAAGATGGGTCATGGTCTGACATGATTGTGTTAAAAACCACTTTTATTAAGAAAAATGTTACTTAAATCTGCATGTCTTTGTTGGTTTTTCCTACTTTTTTTGGTCGGATCGTGAATCAAATTTATTCATTTGCCTAAACATGTGGTGAAATTTTGAGATAAGCAATCTGATCATGACATTTTAATATTTTAGAAAATGGAGGAATACTCTTTAAATTCCTATATCAGATAAGGAGCAAAAAAAAAAATCTAAGAACAAACAGTTTGGGAGTTGTGCTCTTCAAGTGACATTATCAGCTGATCAGTAAGCGGAGTGACAAGCATTTAAATGACTCTGTCGTTGACAGCCCACTGAGCCCAGTCTCCATTTTTATCCCAAGCATCTTTTGGAGAGACTAAATAAAACAGCAGCTTCCATGTGCACCTCCATGTACAAGATGATCACACAATACCATTTAAAGCTGGGGGGGCATTGAACTTGTTCACCCCTTCTACTTTAATGCACTGATAACTGCTTCCAGTATAGCTTCTGATGCATATATGTTACAAACGTTGTCTCATTATTATTTGAAGTGACAGATTATGCTGATGTAGGATGAAGCATGTTGTGATATTTAAAGCATTAACCCATCACGTGTGCTGCCCTTTTCAGTGAAGACAAACGGGGTCAAAAGCAGCCAGGCCAGCTGAGCTAGGCCTGGATCAAAACACACAAGTTCCCTGCACGCTAAAAACCTGCAGAAACGACTTTTATCTGGCAACTCTGGAGCAGCTGCGGCCCGTGCAAAGAAGCGGCCCGTGTTCTGCAGAGGAGCGTGAACATGGGCTTCAGGGTGCACACAGAGGGGCTGACCACGCTAGGCCTGATGCCGACATGCACCGCCTGGATCTGGGATAGATGACCTGCCTTCTAAACACACACCGATTAAGGGGAGCATACGGGTGTGTGTGTGTAGGGTGTAGCCGTATTCATCTTCACTATGAAAGAGCCAATAAAGAGGAGGAGAGGGCTTGTACATACCATCGCGTTTCTCCCTTTCTCCTCTCGCATCTGCCAGGCCAGCTCTTGCCGCAGCCCTCTCCGCCGCCCGATGTGCAAAAAGCAAAAACCGCAGAATTACCGCTCCGAGTCGGAACCATTCACAGAAATCACAGCGGTCGGCGCGACAGACTGAAATTAATCTTCATCACCCATGTCTAGATTCTTCAGCTTAGTTTCCCTTAACACCGTTTTATTGTTGCAATCAAACACCGGGGTGGAAATAAATGTCCCAAACAAAAGAGCGATGCAGTTTTATTTCGGCAAAGATGCTTCTTGTCTTCCTCTAGCGAGATTCAGGGGTGTAAAAAAGTCTGCTTCAGGTCGCCTTCCTCTGGGTTCACCACGTTGCTTTTTCAATAATTATTCTGCCCATTGTTGTGTCCACATATTAACGCTGGACCGGCCACGAGACAACACGGAGTCTGTTGTAATCGCAGCGGCGTTTCCTTTAAAACAATGTTCCTGCTGCAACGCAGTTCACTGGTGTCCCGGTGAAATCTGGTGGACAGACTGCGTGTGTGAAAGTGGGATTTCTGTCAGCTTTCCGATAATGGCGGCGGCCCTCCTCCTCCCTGGACCTAGATCTCCTCTTCTTTTCTTTGGGAAAAAGGAGCTGTGGAGATCGAGGTAGTAGAGAGAGGGACTCACCCAGCGGCGCCCTCACACAACTGCAGCAGGTCGCCTCTCTGTTGCTACTCACCACTACACTTCTGCCTCTGCGGAGCTTCACTCAAAATGCTCACTTCATCAACCTTCGGTCTGCATTTCTAAAGTAATGTTGCAGTTTTGATTAATATAGGAATATGTCATTCATACCAGAGGCGTGCATACTTCACATGGAAGGAGACCCAGCCCACAAGGGGTCCACCCCAGACTCTGATTTACCCTCTTCTTTACTTCTGATATTTTAATCTTTACCCAGATAATTTAGACCAGAATGCTGAATAAAAAAAATCACACATTTTTGATAAAATGTATATTTTTTCTCAGATGTGCATTTCACACAGAGCCAAAGCTGAATAACAGGATCTGGGTAAAACTAGAGGGACACAGAATAAAATGGCTTCTACAGCACACAAAGTAGCAGTAACAATGTGCAAAATACAGTGTAATGTCATTGTTGTGATCTTGCAAGTTAAGTGCGGAGGATGGCAAAAGTCTTGAGGGATTTTTTGATCTTGCGAGTCCAGCAAGTAAGCTGATCCCCAGCCAAGAGTCTCCAGGTGTGTAATGGGCCGCATCGAAGCTCACAAATACAACGTTCCACCAATGTTCTGCACTGTTGATGTGCAGTGTAAAATAGGGGCTAACTATGTCCCAGATGCAAGTAGGGCTGTTTGATTATGGAGAAAATTATGTTTTATTTTATACTGAAATTACAATATTTTAACACCTATTAAATTAATTAAAATAGAGTTTGCATTTTAAGGAGATAAATTTAAGTCAGCAGGTGGCAGATTTGGGTTTAGTGATGATGAGACCAAAATTACTTTTATCATACTAGAATCATCTACTAAAAATGTATAGGCTTACTTACATTAGCATCAGCTCCACTCCACCTGGACTGTGTTGGGAGATTTCTATTTTAGGATTTTCCTGACATCTTTTCAGCCCCTCTTTCGAGAAGGTCTGCCTGGAGCCAAACAGGGCCGACACGCCTACTGCTGACTGACTGGCTGGATTAAAAGCACACCTACCATTAGGGAGAGCCTCCGATTGGCGGATAGAATCAGTGCGCGGGGGCTTCTCGCATGTGCGATTCATTATCGTTCTGGATGCCGTGGTATTAACGAACCTCTGACTTTAGTGTGTGTGTGTGTGTGTGTGCATGCGTGCGTGCGTGCGTGCGTGTGTGTGTGTGTGTGTGTGTGTGTGTGTGTGTGTGTGTGTGTGTGTGTGTGTGTGTGTGTGTGTGTGTGTGTGTGTGTGTGTGTGTGAATGATTGTTTATCTCTGTGTCCCCGTGATAGACTGGTGACATGTTGGATATGTCTGGCATGTATCGCTGCAGACTGCTGTCGATGGTCCTGGCTCTTTGAGCATCAACTCTGCTTTTGGCTCAGTGTTGACACAGCTCCGGTAGCCGAGTCTACAGTCCCATTTTCGGGCAGAGAATCGACAATGACAGACTCGTGGATCTTTGACTGTGGGGGACCAGCAAAACCCGATATCTTCAGTCATCTTACCTAGTTATGATTTCTTTACGAAGCAGGCTGGAGGTGCCTTCACTTTGAAGTCGCTCCACCGTGTTTTTCTTGCTAAGAACGCTTGGAAAAACACTGTTAGCTTCGGGTTACCATAGCTAATGTCCCGTTGATCTCCAATCGTTGTGCTTGAGCTGATGTAAAAGGCCACAGCACCGGCTACGATTGCAGCGGTCTGAGGCTTTGCTTGTATTTTAACAGTCCAAGTCCATAATAGATCTCCACAGATGACCAGCAAGACTACAGCGTTGCACCAAAGCCAGTTGTCCGTGTGGGTGGGCTACCCCGGTCCTCGGAGCTCCTTCTTAGTCTGGCAAGGTGGGGAAGCGAGGGCCCGGGCGGGATTCAATCCCCAGACTCCTCGGTGAGAGTCATGCAAAGGGACATTCCCGTGGCCAAGTAGCCAGGGTGCATGATCAATCGGGATACAGTGACAGGATGCTCTCACTGTCACATTAGCTTCTTAGGTTGGCTAAGTTAGCTAGTAGCTACATTGGTTCACTTGTTCCAACTGTAACAGCCCCTCCATCAGCTCCACCTCTTTTCCCATTTTTGCATTGTCTGGGCGTGATGGGACGTGTGACATAGTCAAAATGGCGGTGGTGAGAACCTCCCAATTGGAAACAAAACCTTGTAATTTGAGTCTATGTACATTAAATGTCCAGTATATATGTCGATGCTGCATACATACATACAGAAATAAAGTTTTCTTCAATGTTATTCTAAGTGAAACATTGAATGGTTGGGAATAGTTGTGCACTCTGTGCAGTAGTACCTGGATTGGAGTGAGTAGGGTGTGTATGCATAGCGTTAGTGGGTGTATGACGTACTTCTTAGTGTCTTTAGGTTGAGTGTTAATGGATGAGCACAAGGGTTAGAATGTGTGACTGTATCTGTCAGGTGGGGTCTTGGAGTCTTTCCCTCTTCTGGGACATCTTGTGGTGCTACAACATATTTGCCTACCCCTGTCACATTTCCTGCTGGTAGGTGGTGTCTCAATTTGCCTGCGTATTCAGCAAGCTGAAGCTATACTGCTCCACCTGTGAGAGTAAAACTGCAAGGGTTGTCTTCGGCACTCGGACATCAATTCTGGTCGTTTTACAGCCAGATAGGACACGGAGGGGAAAAATGAAACAATGACATCCTGTTCCAGGTGCTACCATGTTGTGATTTTGGAACCAGATGCTGTGTTTAAATTCAGGGGCTGGATCTTTTGAAGGGCCCAAACCAAGCCTACCCTATTTTTGACTAAAATATGTAGAAAATTCTTTGACAAAAGCCTGACAACATTTATCCTTCCTTCCATTCTGCCTGCCTTGGGATAGAGTGGACCATGAAGGACACACCAAACCGCCCTTCAAATTTGGTGTAAAGAAAAAGGTATATGTGGTCTGTATTTGAAGAAACCTTCAAAGATGCGCATCCTTTGTTGCACCACAAAACAGCTGCTCATTGTTCTATACTTCTGTCTCCATTACTGAGTCCAGTTACTTATGTAAAAGGTCTTATTTACAAGTTTTTAAAATACATTTGCTGTGTTCCCTTGTATGAATGATTGATTTCTGAGTATTTTTTTTTTTTTTTGCGGAAGAAAAGCTCTCGTGCTCCTATTTGAGAGGTACAAATTAGGTCTAGATTATACTTCTCCATCTGCGAAGGTGCTAAGACACACAGCACCATTATCCATTGGCACAAGTGCTCTCCGACAGGCAAGCAAGGACAGATGGAGTAAAGTTGTCGTCGTTGTCTTCCTCCGCTTATCCGGGTCCAGGTCGCGGGGGCAGCATCCCAACTAGGGAGCTCCAGACCTTCCTCTCCCCGGCCACCTCCACCAGCTCCTCCGGCAGCACCCCAAGGCGTTCCCGGACCAGATTGGAGATGTAACCTCTCCACCGTGTCCTGGGTCGATCCGGGGGCCTCCTGCCGGCAGGACATGCCCGAAACACTTCCCCAGGGAGGCGTCCAGGAGGCATCCTGACCAGATGTCCAAACCACCTCAATTGACTCCTTTCGATCCAGAGGAGCAGCGGTTCTACTCCGAGTCCCTCCCGAATGTCTGAGCTCCTCACCCTATATCCAAGGCTGAGCCCGGCCACCCTACGGAGGAAACTCAATTTGGCCGCTTGTATCCGCGATCTCATTCTTTCGGTCATTACCCAAAGCTCATGACCATAGGTGAGGATTGGGACATAGATCGACCGGTAAATCGAGAGCCTGGCTTTCTGGCTCAGGTCCCTTTTCACCACGACAGATCGGCTCAGCGTCCGCATCACTGCAGATGCTGAACCAATCCACCTGTCAATCTCCCGATCCCTCCTACCCTCACTCGTGAACAAGACCCCGAGATACTTAAACTCCTCCACTTGAGGTAGGACCTCTCTCCCGACCCGGAGTTGGCAAGCCACCCTTTTCTGGTCGAGAACCATGGTCTCAGATTTGGAGGTACTGATCCTCATCCCAGCCGCTTCACACTTGGCCGTGAACCTACCCTGCAAGAGCTGAGGGTCAGAGCTGGATGAAGCTAGGAGGACCACATCATCCACAAAAAGCAGACGAGATTCTCCTGCCACCAAACTTGACACACTCCACACCACGGCTGCACCTAGAAATTCTGCCCATAAAGGTAATGAACAGAACCGGTGACAAAGGGCAGCACTGGCGGTGTCCAACCCTCACCGGAAACAGGTCCAACTCACTACTGGCTATGCGGACCAAACTCACGCTCCTCTGGTAAAGGGACTGAATGGCCCTTAACAGAAAACCACCCACACCATACTCCTGGAGCGTCCCCCACAGGGTGCCCCTGGGGACATGGTCATAAGCCTTTTCCAAATCCACAAAACACATGTGGATAGGTTGGGCAAACTCCCATGCCCCCTCCATCACCCTTTCAAGGGTATAGAGCTGGTCCACAGTTCCACGGCCAGGACAAAAACCACATTGCTCCTCTTCAATCTGAGATTCAACTATCGATCGGACCCTCCTCTCCAGTACCTTGGAGTAGACCTTTCCAGGGAGACTGAGGAGTGTGATCCCCCTATAGTTGGAACACACCCTCAGGTCACCCTTCTTAAAGATGGGAACCACCACCCCGGTCTGCCACTCCACAGGAACTGTCCCCGATGACCACACAACATTGCAGAGACGTGTCAACCATGACAGCCATACAACATCCATAGCCTTGAGATACCCAGGACGAATCTCATCCGGCCCCGGGGCTCCGCCGCTGTGTAGTTGTTTGACCACCTCAGCAACTTCTGCCCCCGAGATTGGACAGTCCATCTCCAGGTCTCCCGGCTCTGGTTCCTCCTCGGAATGCGCGTAGGTGGGATTGAGGAGCTCCTCAAAGTATTCCTTCCACCATCCGACTATAGCCCCAGTTGACGTCAGCAGCTCCCCATCCCCACTGTAAACAGTGTGAGCGAGTTGCTGCCTTCCTCACCTGAGGTGCCGGACAGTTTGCCAGAGCCTCTTTGGAGCCAATCGACAGTCTTTCTCCATGGCCTCACCAAACTCCTGTCATGAC